GTAAAAGAAAAAAAAAAAAAAAAAAAAAAAAAACATACATAATATTATTTACACCTGTATAAATACTATAATTTATTTCATCTTTGATCATTTATATAATTACTTTTAACACATCAACTGTTAATTGAAATAACATAAACGATGCTTTCAATTTTTACCTATTAGCCTCAATTTCCATCTTCTTTTAATGAAAATGTTCTCCAATGTATCGAAATTGAAATGAGGGCCCAAAGTTTAGGTGTATATGGTATAATTTAACCAAGCTATTATTCTCAAACAGTGCAACATTAAAGTCACACCTAAAAAGCAATACTCAGCTTATTGATTCACATTTAATATTCACTTCTAACAAATACAAATCCATAAGGAACACACTATCTTCCCCACTTTGTGTCTTCAGGGAATAATATACTCCTTTTGCACAGAGAAGATAAAGAAGCCATTCCATTCCAAGAAAACTAAGTATAGAAAAAATGTTCAGTATCCAATGACCATAAGAAGAGTAGATGAGAGTTTACCTTTGCTACGAAGAGGAGAGGAGAAAGTCGTTATGATTTAGAAATAAAATGGAGCTTCCAAGCACAAAAACTACACCGCAATATTTGTGCCTACAATAATGCCATGGAGTGAAGTTCCAATGAGTGAAATGAAGCAACAATATCATGCATTAATTAATGTACGTATTCCTGTTAGATTAACCCTCCTAAACGAAGGGGAAGTACTAAATAACGAACTTCACCGACAATCTAGTCATGGAAATCTATTTCTATCACATAAATTACCACCTGATTATAATGTCAAATGGGTCACTGTGGAAGAGTGCCCAGAGCTTATAATTCATGTATGGAGATAGTTGGCAGCCATCATCAACTCCAGAGTCAATTCAGGTTCAATAGGGAACTCGGTCTCTTTCCCACTGACAAAAAGGAAGAAATCAATAAACATGGCAACAGATTTAGTCGTTCTACGAATTTACAATGGAAAAACTTTTGTTCTTTGTGAGAATGAAAATAAGAACCAAAGAGAATACAGAGGTATGTATATATATAAGTATTTACAAACAACATTTATCTTTAATTGGTTGAATTCCCAATCCCATAAATTGCCAAAAAGCTAGGGTGAGTAATGTCCACCAATGCCCAAAACGCTTACACACTTATCCATCCAAAGCTTCAAACAAAATTTACCAAAATTCATAAGCATTCTACACAAGACATAAAAACACTCTGGTAAGTTAGAGAAAAGCCTACTCTAACTCGATTCTGTTTATGTGTTTAAGTATAATGTTTTAAATGGGTGCGACGAGCGAGATCTAATCTAGAGGCTTGACATTATCAGCCGTCTAACCTTTGTTCATGTACACCCATGTACTGTCCAATGAGGTGCAAAACATTTGGCTCCTAATCCAATTAACTTGTAAGAACTCTATCTGTACTACTTCATCTAACTTAAGTTTGCCTTCGAGAACTCTCTTACGCAGACAACAAAAAGTACATAACAACAGCAACATGAAAATTGTTGAGATAAGTTGATCCGAACCAAACAGTGATGCAGACATTACATGCTATCTGGT